TGACTTGTTGGCCTTCCCCTTGATTCTCGCCTATAGGCACTTGACCCTGTTGTCACTATCACTTATCTCTAGGCAGTCATAGCATTTCCTAACGTACATGGCCACCCCACCACCTTTCCTTCCTTGCCTATCCCTTCTGAAGAGCTTATACCCATCAATGGCAGCACTCCAGTTGTGTAACTCATTCCACCATGTTTCTGTGATAGCTACTATATCATAGTTATCCTGATACACAATAGCTTCCAGTTCCTCCTACTTATTGCCCATGCTGTGTGCATTGATGTAGACACACTTCAGTTGGGCTAAAGGCCCTGCCACCTTTTCACAGGGAGAAGTCCTAATTTCTGCCAGGCCATTTTCAGTGGCTTCCACGGTTATTAACACATCAGTAACCCCCCCAAAAAAGCTGCAGTGGGAAAATATTTCAGCATGGGAAATAGGAAGCAGTGTCTGGGTGGTGATAGCAGCCTCATGACCTCCTGTCAGCTGTCTGGGCAGATTCTGCAGATACAGCACAGGAGAAAAGAAACCTCATTTGATTTTAAGGGGAAGAGGTTTAGATCAGAGGGGCTTCCCAGGCTGCAGGAGGGCCCTGGGCAGCCTGCAGAGCTCCAGGGGAGCTGCTAGTTGTATGTAGAAGAAAGTATTTAGTGAGTGTCAGGAAATAAATGCTCAGTGAAGCAGAGAAGAGCAGGGTCACAGTTACAGCCCACCCATGTGCTGGGGGTTCCATGGGGATGTGGGGGGGACAGAGCAGAAGCAAACCTCCCTGGGGGCTGTTGGACCAGGGGAGTCAGTGGAGCATCTTCCCCACAGCCACGCAGGAGGGATGGGAGCACCTCTGCCATCTCCTTTGCACCAAGACCCTATCGCACTGCACCCTCCAGCTGGGTGTCCCCAGCATCTGGGTATAAAAAATGCATTTGGAAATAATATTTCTTGCTCACCTGTTTCCAAGGAGCTGCCAGCTCTGCCTGGCATTGGCATGAAAAAAAGTCAGTCCAAGGTGCCCAGCAGGCTTAGGAGCTTCAACCCCACAGCCAAAGGGGCAAGCAGGGTGGGCATGGGGTGCACGGAGCTAGGCAGCCCACCCACAACCCCCAGCCCACCCATGGGTCCTGCCTCGTGCTCTTCCCCACCCTGTCTGGCTGCTTTCTGGCCTGAGCTACCCCAATGCAAGTGGCAGTTTTTTTATTCCCAGCACCATTGCTGTACAGGTGAGGTCTCCAGATGCAGAGGTTCACCCTCATCCCACTCCTGCTCATCCTCGTCCTTTTCGAGGCTGCTCTGAGGAAATGTCCAAGCCTATGAGAGCAGCAGCTCTGCTATCGAGCCAGCTCCTGACGGAGCAGAAAGCCATCCTCATGCTCTGTCCGTGTCCCCTGGCGCTGCCGGCAGGAGGAGCAGCCTGCGGGCCCGGGGTGCTGGCTCACACCCTGGGCACCGCGCTGTGGGGCTCTTCCCTGGGCTGTGGAGCTGGCGGCACGTTGGCGTAGATCTGCTGTTCCTGGAGGGAATTCCTCACACTGGCATATGTAGCCTCTTTTTCCTCTTCCAAACACTGGGAAAGGAGGGGGATAAACAAAACAAATCCTTCACAGGGCTGCCTGAGGGCAACACTGTCTGCTGGACTCTTTTTCAGCTGATTCAAGCACCCAGGAGCAGAGAGAGCACCCACATTAGCCAGGGTCATTTGCACTCCAGCTTTTTGCAGCCCCCTCCTTGCCCACCCAACTCATCCTGTTGTCCACTCACCCCATCTTTCCACCCACCCCAGCTTCCCACCCAGTGCCTCAAGCTCAGCGCTGCTTTGCCTTCTCCTACCTTACCACTCTGCTTGACCTCCATGTATTCAGTCGTGGTGTCTGTCAGGCAGCGGAAAGCCTCGGTGTTGCTGTACAACTGGCTCTCAGCTGTGTCCGTGCGGTGGTTGATGTCCACGTAGTTCAAGGCATCCTCTCCCTGAGAGGTAAAGGAGAGGGATGAGCTCTCAACCTACCACTGCTCTTCTGCCTGCAGCCCTGTCTGCAGACCCTTTCTTGGAGAAAATCTGGTCAGGGACACCAGTCCCTCCCCGAAAGCAGGCAGAAAACATTAGAAAACACTTCCCAAGCAGTGACCAAGGACCAGCTGCTCCACAGCCTCCTCAGGTGTACTTTGCTGCAGGGTGCCAGGGCTGTTTCTCCCAGAGAAGCAGCTGCCGTGCTTGGAGGGGCTTGGGGAGAAACCTCTAGGGTCAATTCTAAATTCCCTTCCCAGGAATACCCTGCAACAGCCACACAAAGTCCCAGGTCGGGTCTTTCTGTTGGTGAACAGAGCCCAAAGAATCCCCCCCCAGCCCAAGGGGCCGTGAACCTGGCTGAAAGCAAATGGCTCCAGCAGCATAGCTGCTCAGCTTGGGGTGCAACGTTTCCCCTGTCCATGCCGAGCCCTGGTGCGGTTTCCTTAACTGTACACGACGTGCTGTGAGTCCTCTCCATCTCTACAGCTGCTCCGGAGAGGGCTAGATGAAGCATGGATGTGGTTACACATGAGTGAAAACAGAGGGGAAAAAAAATTATTAAAAACCTGTGCTGCCGCAGTGAATCTCACTGTAAAGCAGGAAGGGAACATGCCACCCCATTGACCAGCTAAACTGGAGCAGTTCTTCAAATAAAACCAGGCCCCATCTGCCAGGTGGCGATATCCCCTCCTGTCCCTCCCTGTCTCTTTGTATCCGCTCAGTGAAGGCCTGGCCTATATGACTGAGTGCATCTGGAGAAGCCATCGGTACCCAGAAAAACTCAAGCAGGTCCCGTGCCAGGCAGCACCCATCTCCAGAGCTGTCATTCTCTGCTCTTGTGGTGATGAGACTTGTGGGACAGTCCCATCGCTCCATCGAGGGAAGGAGAGCTCCTTGATGGAGGTCTCAATGATCCCAGGATTTGGATGGATCAGGGACAGAATGGGGCAGAAAGAAGAAATATAGAGGAAAAGCCAAATATACTAGAAGACAGGCTCTAGTGCAGAAACTGTGTGTGTGCAACAGTGACAACTTCACTTACCCTTCTTCCCCTTCCTGGACAGAGTTACCAAAATGCCAACAGCAATTATAAGCAAAATGAGAACCACTATGATGCTTGGAGTGAGGATGAGCTCAACCACATCCGAGCTGCAAGAAAGAACAGTTTCTATTCTCACTCTTCTCAGAAGCAGATTGGGAAAAGCCAGCACAGCTGATGCACATAGTGAGTGGCTGGGGGAACAGGGCTTGCCTTGGGAGGAAGGGAAGCAGGCGAGTGGGTGCTCAGGCTGCAAACTGGGCATGGAGCAAAGCAAACTGGAAACTGCAGAAGCAAACGGACACTCAGGTCTCAGAGCTGTTGTGTCTTCACTGTTTTAAAGATCAGTTCCTGCACCTAATTTTGCTCTGGTTTAGCGCCACTATTTGTTGATCTTGTTGTAGTGAGCAATGCTGCAAGGTTGGTGTGCCAGCTACTCCCTGAGCGTGCTTACGGGAAGACTCAGCTTTGCCTGCTTCCTGCATCACGTCCAAGAGGCAAGTGGAGGAAGGAAGCTCTGTCACCCTGGTCTCGTGATCTCTGCTCTCAACCACCTCTGCAGGGCTGCACGGGACTACAGAGCAGAAGAGGACCCAGCTCAGCACTTGATGTCCCACAAGCAAATGATCCCTCTGAGATTTGGGGAAAGAAATGGGGCCAGTGTTACAGCCAGAAACCGCTTTTTGCACAGTGAGGACCTGCGCCTTGCTTAAGCTGCAGGACAGACAGGGGACGAGCAGGGCTTTGCTGGGGCCAAGGGACCAGAGGCACTGGGATTATTTTCCATGCGGAGTAAAAGGATGAAACACTGGTCTCCAAAGGCAAAAGCAGGAGGTCTGAATCCTGAAGGGAGGCATGAAGAGCCTGCAGGGCTGCAGGGCTCCAGCTGCACCAAAGGGATCTCACAGAGGGAGGTGGCTGCTGCGGGCAGGAGGTGGTACTCACCGTGAAGGGATGGAGCCATTGTGGTGAGAGTGTTTTGATCCTGGTTGCACAGCTTCCCCCTCGGGACTTGTCTGTGTGGGAACTGATACAGTGCTAGGGAGGTCGGGGTGCTCGGTGGTCAGGGCATAGTGTGATGAAGAGGAGGAAGAAGCTGTAACAACAAGAAGAGAGGCTGGGCTCCCTGCCTCCGTGGGGGAAAATGCTGCGGGTTTTGCAGCGAGTCAGAACTGATCCACCTACTGTCACACCAGGAGATGCCGAGTCCCCGCTGCCATGGCCAGAGCATGGTCCTGGAGGTGGAAGGGCTGTAATCCCCTGCCCAGGAAGCTTTTCACAGTCCTCGTCCATCCCCAAAATGTGCACACATGCACACGCAGTAGAGTTCACCCAGAAGGAAAGGGGTCTGGGCATCCCATACCCAGCCCAGTACTAACAGAGCAGCCCTATGTAAGTGTCCCACTATGGGGGCTGGTCCCTGGCGAACGGATGGAGAGGGATGTCCCCTAAGCCCCAGGGCCTGGTGCCCCACAGCGGGGAATGAGGCAGCACGGGATGGTGGTGAACTCCCTGGTGTTATAAAATAAGGCAAGGAGAGCACAGGCAGAGCCAGGAGGATCTGATGAGAGGGGAACATGGGGCACAGAAAGCAGGGGCACCCCAGCAATGAGGTGGCAGACCCTGGGGTGTTGAGAAGGGCCCATGGTGAGACCTGGGCACAGGGAATGGGTGAAGGTGGCACCAACCCTGGTGGCCCACCCTGGGGCTGCCCCACACAGCCTAGGCACCCACCTCCTACAATCTACCCCTCCCTGCAGCCGCCCCCCC